TTAATTGCACCAGTGTGCCCTGAACAATTTACTTTTAATTTGAATCTATGTTTGGACTGTTTGCAACTGTTATATTTACCTATACCCTGATATCAGTGGACACTGATAATTGTCTGTTTATTACCCTTTACTGTTATATATATATGCAACTGTATGCAGGACAACAAAAACGCAAATACAAGGAAGCAACCAGAAGTAAATGTAGGCAGGACAAATAACAAGCAAGCGCAAGGAAGAAAACACAAGTCACCAAGCATGAAAACACAAGGACCCAACCAGTCACTTTATGGTGCAAAAACATTCAAGTGAAAAACCACAAAAATGCATACTGTTTTCAGTTTTGGCCATCACAATTTATGCTTGAATACAAGGAAGCAACCAGAAGTAAATGTAGGCAGGACAAATAACAAGCAAGCGCAAGGAAGAAAACACAAGTCACCAAGCATGAAAACACAAGGACCCAACCAGTCACTTTATGGTGCAAAAACATTCAAGTGAAAAACCACAAAAATGCATACTGTTTTCAGTTTTGGCCATCTAGCTTATTTGGACAATTACTAAGTGTTTAATCTCAATATGACTATGTAATGTACAGTTCTCAAACTACTGATTGTGTGGTTCTAAAAGTTATAATAATAATATTTTACCATGAGTATATGTATGTCATAAATTGTGCTTTAACAATCAGTATTGACATTTACAATAAATTACTACTATATTTATATCTTTAAATAAAGATTGTTGATACAAGTCCAACATAAAACACAATTAGTGATAAAGGAATTTTGGTCTGTTTTAAATGTAAACAAATTTTCAATCCAGAACTTGAAGTTATTACACACTTTAAAGATCATCATTGGCAACCTAAAGGACTGCATTTTTTTACTTAGTCAGTTTCAAAATGTAGTAATTTTAACTGCATTACTATTATATGATGATCTTTAAATAAAGATTGTTGATACAAGTCGAACATAAAACACAATTAGTGATAAAGGAATTTTGGTCTATTTTAAATGTAAACAAATTTTCAATCCAGAACTTGAAGTTATTGCACACTTTAAAGATCATCATTGGCAAATTGAAATAAAAGACTTATGACAGTTTGTTGACACAGTAACATGCCACATATATAATAAAACACTTCAAAAATTTTGCTCACAATTTAGATGCTATGAATTAAATTATAACAGAAGGACTGCATTTTTTTACTTAGTCAGTTTCAAAATGTAGTAATTTTAACTGCATTCACAATTTAGATGCTTGAAGTTCCACATATATCATACAGCAATGGAAATTGATGAAGAAACGATATGGTTTTAACCCATTTACTTTAAGCAACTGTGGATACAAAATTATAGGCAGGGAAATGTCTACAATTTAGTTATCCAAAACAAATGAGTAGTCATATGCCAGACATTAAATTTAAAAGTAGATGTGTTAAGTATAATTTCATTAACCTTATTATAACTACATTTCAAAATGTAATATATAAAATATACAAATTAGATGGAAATTCGTGGAAAAACAATATGGTTATAATATTGTAACTTCAATTAACTGTTGCTTCAAAATTAATAAACAGGGATGTATTAATGTAGTAACACACATATGTAGATCATTACAAAAAAAAAAAAATACTCCTTTCAAATTACAAAATTACATATAAGGCCTATTTCTAATTAAAGTAGCGAATGTAGGACTCTAATTTGGGCCAATACAGTCTATATCATGCCTAATATTGAAAAAATATCTGTACTAAAAACTTTGAATACAAAAACTAATGGGATGACAAACAACTACTAATAGTTCAAATCAGAATCACCAATCATGTTCATGTCATTCTCTTCAACCAATTAACCAAATCTGTAAACTAATGGAACGACAAATGTAGCTTCATCAATTGTCAAAACATAATAATATAGTAGTTGTCAGAAAATAGAATAAACAAAAAACATTTACACCAGACTTTGTCCAAAAAAATGGCAATAGATTACAAAAGTAGCCATTTAAATATTACCCCTATACCAATCCACTAAGTTGTTACAACATTGGCAGAGATTAAATGAAGCTACAATGGATTAAACAAATAGTCATGTTCAGTTTATCCTCTTTGATCCACTAAGTTCTAATACATCTGTAGTGGCATCAGAATTGTAAATTCATCATTTGCCAGACACTTCAAAATTTGGTTAGTCACAATGAATATTGAAAATACAAAATAACCCATGAACCAGGGGAACATGTATATTAAATTTATTAAAAACTACTTTAAATTGTTGTTTTCCAATAAAAAATGAAGAGTCATATCAATGCTTTTAATCATTCCTATTAAAGTGAAATCTTAAATGCACAGAACCAAATAAAACCATCACCTATTTTAATCCAAGTATTTGAAATACAAATCCAATAGCAAAAACAGACTGGAACATACACAATATCAGCTCAAACATGAGGAAAATCACAACTTCTACAATAATAGGAAGCAAAAGGAAGCACATGATCGACAGTAAAGGTAACATAAACACATATTCAAACTACTTTTTATACTCTAGCTGCCTGTTTCAGTTAATTGCACAATATTATAGCTTTTTACCTACTATTACAGAGTCATGAATGCTTAGCTTCAAACCTTTGTAGGGTAGATATATCCAAAACCTGCAATTCCATTTTGCAGATTTGGTTAGTATATGTTCTAGAACGAATACTTTAGAGCAAATATTGTATGATCTTTGACTATAATAAAAAACAAACAAAAATATAATAAATATAAAATGTACGGTATATACTAAGATTAAAAATACCAGAAAAAAATAAACTTCAAAAACACTTATCTTCCATTGGATTGCGCAAAACTTTACTGTAATTTTCGGCAAAGGGCATGAACACCGTACGGTGATTACAGTATTATATATCTACAATTAAGAAACAAAATAAGCTTTAATCTCTAACTAATCAAATACGAAATAATTTTAGCTGTTAACAAACTTACCAAAGATCGGATTGTAGTGTAATAGGGTATGCCGTGAAGATCTGGATCATCGATCATCGTTCGAACCGTCAAAAACCCACATCCCAGTCTAAAAATGAAGATCGGAGAATACTAGCATAGATCCTCTCACAAAAACACCGCCGATCTATAAATACGGTTTCATCAGTGAGCCTTAATCTACTGTTAGGTGAGATGAACACCTTGCATTAGCGTTGAGATCTTCTACGAATTAAAGTGTGTTAGACAATCGAATGGCCTGAAATATCGGATTGGGGATGGTTTTGTCTGAAGAGTGTGAGAGATAAGGTTAGGGAGTGTTCTATCGCTGTTAGCTGTAAGAGGGATTGGGAGGTGAGGGTTCAAGAAATGACACACCGCAAGAAACCCCCTATTTGGAAGTGAAGGTATGAAAACAATCAGTGGGTCGGGTTTGGGCTTTGCATTTTAGGTACATAGATTTGGGTCTGATCTTTGAGGGTAGAAATGAGCTTTTAAATGCTGGATAGAAATGGGCTTGGTCTGAAATAGGTAGAAGTGAAGGTATGCAAACATTATTTATGATATTTAGTGGTCCACAATATTGTGTGAACCATTGGTCCATGATGGTCTCTTTTAAATATATATGCACATTATGTTCAATTTGTTGTTATTTCTGTACTTAAGTTATATTATTTTTAGACTTTATATATTGTCCAACATTGACAGGTATCTTTTATAATAAGAGATACTTTATTATGTCCCTTGAATCTTTTCAATGCAGAAAATGATGAGAATTCGTCTGTTATAAGCACTCACAACCGTATAGTGAAAAAATCTGTCACAAATTTAGCCACAAACTTAACACCACAACAACCATTTACTTCAAATGCGACACCAAGAAGTTGTCTAACAACAGGTAAACGCTTTACACTTCTTGGATTTATATATCTGTATATCCTTCGGTATAATACACTATATAGAAATGTTGTTTAACCTCCGAATTATTTTGTTGCAGTTAATCAGGATAATTTTAATATATGTATGAGTAGTTGTCACATGGAGTATACAAAAGCTAATAGCAACTCCAGACATTTTGTATTAGGCGGCAAATCTCCCTATTTATCAAGTACAACAACACCTACATTGACCGGTTAGTTAATCTTATGCATATACATAATGTTATTGTTTTCGTATCAAAACTCTAATATCATTATTGACAAATCGATATATATTGAATTTGTGATAAAAGGTATAGTGACTAGGTCGGATGTCAGACGGTCACCTCTACAGGATATATCAAACAGTATGTATTTTCCCTTTCGTTTTAACTTTGTAATGTTTATTTTTAGGTGACAGGACTCTTACTTATTCTTTAAATAAATTAGGTACAAGACAATGCATAAAGAGCTCACTCATGAATGATGGAAAAGACCATAGTCAAGATAATGAGGTCAATCGCGATTTGTTTCAAGATTTTGAGCAAGTTTGCACTACTAATCGCATAACTCCGGTGCAAGAGGAATATAGTTGTGGTAAGTTCAATATCCACAAACATCTGTAAAAATGTGCTTTGAAATCTTAAGAGGCAATTGTATGTGGTTAGTTGTTTAAATGAATTTTTTTTTTCTTATTTTTGAAGGATTGGTGGGAATTGCAAAGCAACCTATACAACAGATTGCTAATGGTAATTAATTTATTATTTGATAGCTTGTGTGAATTAAAAATTTATTTAATTGTACATTATTATTTAACTAACTAATGTATCCATTTAGTTGAATACAAAGATCTTGGGGATGCAAATAATACCTGTCAACATTGTGGAGCTCTATTTTGGTACGAAGAGCGGATCAACAAAACAGTTGTTTACGGCACGCCAAAATATTCAATGTGTTGCAACAGTGGTAAGATCAAATTGCCACCAACCATGAGGCCACCCAATGCAATTTACAATTTGTTTTTTGGAGAAGGAGAAAAAAGCAAGCAATTCCTACAAAATATTAGAACATACAATAGCATGTTTTGCTTCACCTCCATGGGTGGTAAAATAGATCGGAGCGTGAACAAGAACGGTGGTCCACCCATTTTTCGGATCAATGGCCAGAACTTCCATTACATTGGTAGTCTCCTGCCGGTGGACGGGAGAAAACCACATTTTGCACAGTTGTATATATATGATACTAATAATGAACTTAGTAATCGTATCAATGCTGTGAGGTACGTACCTGTTATTTACTTCTATATATAAGTTCTACAATATTTGTATCCAAATTACTTTTTAGCAACTTCTAATATTTTTGGTCGTATGCTAGGCAAAATGGTGACCAAAATGGCATCCATGTTGAGATTGTGAATGATATTCAACAAGTTTTGGATACCAGTAATGTCTTAGTCAAGTCATTCCGCATGGCACGATCTGAGCTGCAAAATAATCCGCTGGCCGAGGTAAAAATTAAATTGCTTGGGAAGAGATCAAAGGATGCAAGAACATACAATTTGTCGCAGGTTTCGGAAGTTGCAGCCTTAATTGTGGGTGACATTGATACAAATATTGGAGAACGTGACATTATGGTCGAAACCAAGAGCGGCCTGTTGCAACGAATTAGTGAGTTGAATCCAGCATACCTCCCAATGCAATACCCTTTACTCTTTCCGTATGGTGAGGACGGATACAGGGAAGACATTCCCTTCTCTACATTAAAAGGAAACACAAGTGCTGGCCGTCAAAGGATAAGTCCTCGAGAATATTTTGCATACCGTATACAGACAAGGTTATCTGAGGTATCTACTTTATTGCATTCAAAGAGGTTATTCCAACAATTTTTGGTAGATGCCTATACAATGGTTGAGTCAGGAAGGTTAATCTATATAAGGACACATCAAAAAAGTTTGAGGTGTGAATCGTATAATTGCTTGAATGATGCATTAACACGCGGTGAAGTTGACCCCACTACTCAAGGAAAGAGGATAATATTGCCTTCAAGTTTTACAAGGGGTGCTAGATACATGATTCAAAATTATCAGGACGCTATGGCTATATGTAGATTGGTTGGATATCCAGATCTGTTTATCACATTCACCTGCAACCCGAAATGGCCCGAGATACAACGCTTCTTGAAGGATCGAAAGTTAAAAGCTGAAGATCGTCCTGACATAATATGTAGATTATTCAAAATGAAATTGGATGCTCTAATCTCAGATTGTCGGAAGAACAAGTTATTTGGGCCAGTGATGGGAGGTACGTAAATTAAATGCCAATATTTAAAACAGTTCCTATAGATAATTGTTAGAAGTTTTTTGCCAAACGTAATGTTTTTTTTTTTTTTTTCCAGTTATATATACCATAGAATTCCAAAAAAGAGGTCTGCCGCATGCTCATATTCTGCTGTTTCTTGATAAAGTCAATGGATATCATACTGTTGACAATTTGGACAACATTATTTCCGCTGAGCTGCCTGATCAAGAAGCTGACGCAGAATACTTCAGAGCAGTTGAGGAGTTTATGATGCATGGACCTTGTGGGAAAGCCAGATTGAGTTCTCCCTGTATGGCAAATGGTAAATGTACTAAACATTTTCCCAAAAAGTTTGTTAATTGCTCAACTTTTGATGAGGATGGCTATCCTATATATCGGAGAAGAGACAATGGTCGGTCTGTGACGCGCAATGGGATTGACTTGGATAATAGGTACGTGGTACCACACAATAGGCATTTGTTGTTAAAGTATAGGGCTCATATTAATGTCGAATGGTGTAATCAGTCCCGTTCAATCAAATACCTATTCAAGTACGTGAACAAGGGTCATGACAGGGTAACAGCAGAGTTTTACAGAACCAGCAATGATCAAGATGGTGCACAAGTTCTGGATGAAATTAGTATGTACTATGATTGTAGGTACATATCTCCGTGTGAAGCATCGTGGCGGTTGTTCGGTTTTGATATACAGTTTAGGACACCATCAGTGGAAAGATTAAGCTTTCACTTGCCGAACCAACAAAGTGTTGTTTTCGCAGATGATGACCCCGTTGATAACATACTCAGTCGGCCAACAATCTTGCAAAGCATGTTCCTAGAATGGTTCGAGGCAAATAAAAACTTCCCAGAAGCAAGAAAGTTGACATATGCTGAAATGCCAACAAAGTTTGTCTGGAAGAAAGATATTCGAAAATGGCAGCCCAGAAAAAGAGGATTCTCTATAGGTAGAGTTTTCTATGTGCCTCCTGGATCAGGGGAAATCTTTTATTTAAGGTGTCTGTTGAATAAGGTCAAAGGTCCGACAAGTTATTTAGATATAAAAACAGTGGATGGCGTCCAATATGATTCTTTTAGGGATGCGTGTTGTGCAAGAGGATTAGTAGATGATGACAGGGAGTATGTTTATGCTATAGAAGAAGCAAGTCATTGGGCCACAGCTGTGAATCTTAGAAGATTATTTGTCACTCTCTTGATGACTAACTCAATAGCAAAACCAGAGGTGGTTTGGGAGGCTGCGTGGATTCATTTGTCAGATGATGCACAATTCAAGATTAGAGAACAATTGGGAAAATCAGGTATTAAATTATTCCATTCTTACTCTTATAGTTCTATTTTACAATAAAAGTTTTAAACGTAGTGTAAATAATATTGTCACAGATTGGATTATATCTGAAGATGAGAAGAAGAATTTTGCACTTACGGAGATTGAAATAATGCTTTCAGCTATGGGAAAAAGTTTGAAAGACTTTCAGGGGATGCCGATACCCGATTTAGTTAATCACTGCAGAACAACCAATCGGTTGATACAGGAGGAATTGGCATATGATACTACTGCAATGAAGGAAGAGAATGATGCTTTAGTGGATAAACTAACTGAAGAGCAAAGAAAAATATATGACAATGTTTTGAAAGATGCTGAGAATAATCTTGGAGGACTATTTTTTGTTTATGGATATGGTGGAACGGGTAAAACATTCTTGTGGAGAGCATTATCTTCTGCTATAAGGTCAAAGGGAGAGATAGTACTGAATGTTGCATCAAGTGGCATAGCTTCCCTTCTATTACCAGGTGGTAGGACTGCACATTCAAGGTTTGCCATTCCGATCGCTGTTAATGAAGATTCAACCTGCAATATCAGCCAAAACAGTCCTTTAGCACAATTGATCGTGCAAAGTAGGCTGGTCATTTGGGATGAGGCTCCAATGATGCATAAATTCTGTTTTGAAGCGTTGGACCGAACTATGAGAGATATAATGCGTGTCAAAAATCATAACAGCTTCGATATGTCATTTGGTGGAAAAACAGTGGTGTTAGGTGGAGATTTCAGACAAATTTTACCAGTCATTCCAAAGGGCACCAGACAAGATATTGTGCGAGCAACTATAAATTCATCCTATCTTTGGAGAAGCTGTAAAGTTTTTAGGTTAACAAAAAACCTAAGGCTTAGATCTTTGAGATCGGATAGTGAAGTTCAAGAGATTGCTGATTTTGCCAAGTGGATTGCTAATATAGGTGATGGAACCATTGGTGATTCAATGGATGGAGAATCTGAGATACAGATTCCTGAACAATTTTTGCTCAGTTGTGGAGAGGATCCTATTGCTACCATTGTTGATAGCACTTTCCCGTTGTTTCGCAGTGGCCACAGAGATAATGAGTACTTAAAAGATCGTGCCATACTTGCACCGACTTTGGATGTTGTAGATACAGTCAACGAATACATGAATGACTATAACAATGCTGAAGGAAGGACCTATGTCAGTTGTGACTCCGTATGCAAATCTGATTCTAATGTTGACATGCTGGCGGACCTGCACACACCGGAGTTTTTAAATGGATTACGATGTTCGGGAGTTCCAAATCACTCATTGACTCTCAAAGTTGGCTCGCCAGTGATGCTGTTAAGAAATATTGATCACTCACTGGGGTTGTGCAATGGTACAAGGATGATTATTTCAAAGTTAGCGGATCATGTTTTAGAAGCTAAAATACTCTCCGGATCAAGTGCTGGTACGAAGGTCTTAATTCCAAGGATGTCCTTAACACCTTCGGATCCAAGATTGCCTTTTAAATTCCAAAGAAAGCAATTTCCGCTAATGTTGTCATATGCCATGACAATAAATAAAAGCCAGGGCCAGACACTATCCAATGTGGGTTTGTTTTTGAAGAGGCCGGTTTTTAATCATGGTCAAATGTACGTAGCATTGTCAAGAGTTAGTAATCCTAACGGATTAAAAATACTGATCTCAGACGAAAATGTACAATCAAAAAATACGACTACAAATGTCGTATATAAAGAAGTATTCAATAATGTTTAATACATACTATATGTTTTGCAGAAGTATATATATATTTTTAAGAAATTTATTTATATTAGATGTTTTACATATATTGCCGTGCAACGCACGGGTGGAATTACTAGTATATATTATAATAGTCAACTTTAGCAAGAACTTGTACGTGGGAAATAATAAATGCAGATATAAGAAATTATATTAGATATGAACTATATTGCATGCATACGTAGAAGTAGTGAACCCAGATGATGAATAGCAAATATAAATTGGGTTAGTTCACAGTGATAAATAAAGCAATAATATATGAAAGCAGTAAGTAAATGAGAGAGACAATTTAGAGTGGTTCGGAGGTGGCGTAATCCCCCTACTCCACTTTTCTCCTTTCACGTCTAGGAGAAAATTCACTATTTTCCACACACAGTTACAATAGTGAATAAGTGCTACACAGGCACTTCTTTGAGTGTTTTGCACACAGCTACACCCAACCCCGAGTGTCTCGCACACAGCTACACTCCTCCACGAGTACTTCACACACAGCTATACTCCTACGCCAACTAAGTGTCTTGCACACAGCTACACTTAGCAACCACGATTGTTTTGCACACAGCTACACTCACGAGTGTCTCGCACACAGCTACACTCAACAGGTTAGTGTTTTGCACACAGCTACACTTAACCCTCTTTCTACACACAGTAAAGAAAAGATTTAGAGAAAACAAATTTCTCTTCTAAGGACTTAGAAGATTTCTACGCAGATAGCTCAAGAATATAATGAACTGGATATTTCAAATATTGCTCTCGGTATTGTGTATTGTCTCTACTTCAAGTCTTCAATCCTTGCCCGTATTTATAGCCAACAAAGGCCATATAGCCGTTGTAGCTTCTTCAATCCTAGCTGTCCATCTGATTTGCGATGCTCCAATTTTCAACTTGCTCTGAAGTAATTAAATGCAGCAGCTTTCGGTGGAGAATAGCTTTGTCAGATTTATTTGAAAAACTTCATCTGTGTAATCTTCAAATTAAAAGTCATATATTGCGGCTTGTAAGCGGATGAAATTCTTCAGAATTAAATCTTCATCTTTTGTCTTGATATTAATAGCTTCTGACAAGATCTTCATGTTGAGATCTTCAAAATAAATTCCAGCAAAAACTCTCTTGCTTGTTAGCAGCCTGATAGAGAGGATGAGAAGTGTGGCCATCTATTTTAATATTGCTTCTTCTTCATAAATACTTTTGACTTGTGTGAGATTTGCTTCCGACAAAAATCTTCAAATAAATAATTCCAAGCAAACTCTCTTGCTTGTTCTTTCGACCGAATCCTCTGGCTTGCTTCCATTGTGAGAGAGAGTATCCTCTGCTTGTTCTTTCTTTCGAAATGAGCAAGGGAAAGCTGATGTGAGAAATGTAGTTCATCCTTTTTTTGAATTGTTTCTTCTCAATAAATGCTTCTGACTTGCATTTATTGCAGCTCATCTTTTGTAGTCCATCTTCACTTCCACGTGTGGTCTAAAAACAGCATGCAATCTCCAAGTGTCAGCAACAAAATAAGTGCTATGAACAAGATTCGAACCATGTACATTCGCAATGCATTTCAAGTTTCTTGCCAATGCACCGTGTGAACCTATTGGTTATATTTGTGTTGATAACGTATTTATACTGTTTCTGCCTGAGTTAGTGTACAACATTTCTGCTCTTCAAACTTCAATTCTGACCTTAGACTTGCTTGTCAAACCTCCAATCTTGACTTCAACTTTTGACCATCACTGAGCAAAATAGATGTCATAGAGATTCGAACATAGATCCTTGCCAAAACACAATAATACTTTATCCATCAAGCTATTATGACCTCTTTGTACAAATACTGCAAATAAATCCTTAAGTACTAACATTCTGAGAGGTTCTATTTGCCTTTGAATTTCGTAGGATATTTGGTTCAGGTCTATTTTTAAGTTTGTACACTAGACTCAAAATAAAATATGGGGAATTCTAAAAATACAATTTTGGCTCATCAAAACTATATTACAATTATTCCTAACAGATATATTAGGAATTCTAGAGGATGATAGCGTTGGTTTCTCTCACTGGAGGACTGTAAATAATGCTTTCTAAGTCCCCATGTGTATTTTTGGGTTCCCCCCTCCAAATTAATAAAAAACATTTTTTAACTTGTTCAAATTTTAGATTTGTTAAGGTTAATATTTAATATTTTAGTATTAATTATTAAAGTATTAAATAATTTATAATTTTTAAGTCTAAAAAAAAAAAAAGGAGCCGAGTCATCCTCACACACTTCATCGTTCCCAGTTCCGATAAGCATTGTTTTGATTCTCTCCCAGACCAGACTCCCTTTTTTTATCAAATCATCATCACAACATTTATTAATCTCTCTCCACCTCCAGTAATGCCTCTGTTTCGTATGACTATGAGAGAATTTCCATGGCTCTTCTTCCCTAAATCATGTTCCCTTTCTTATTATACTCTCTGTCAGCCCTTTGTTTGCTCCCTTATGTTCGCCCCCTTTCCACAGTCGCAATTTCTCAAGCCGGAAACCAAACGCTGCTCATATGTTCATTGGTGCAGGATCATTCTCGCCCGCTGGGTTCTCCATCCCTCAATTGCACGAGCTTTCTGGCGGGGAGTGTTCGGATTCCTCTAAACACCTCTGTTTCTTACTCTGGGCTTATGGGTGGAAATGGTTTCCTCTGTGCTGTACCTTTTCATTTTCTTCACCCTTTTCCGTTATGGAATGTTGGAGATTTTCAGTAAACGGGACTGAGATGGCGTACAAGAGAATCTACAACGGCCTGAAATTGGCTGATCTTGGTTCCGGGAATTCCCACATTTGTAGAATGGTGGAGAATTCCGGGGGCCTTCAGTGCTTGCAATGGCCGGAGTTTCGCCAGTCCAACCAGATTTCCCTCACCACGAATCTCGCATTGGGTCAAGATTTTGTTTTAGGGTTGCGCGATTCAGGCAAAATTTAGTGCCTGGAGAGTGATTCAAATGTCACCGATCATGCCCCCAACGAGACTTACGATGATTTGGCCGCAGGTTCGCGCTACGCGTGCGCTATTTTGCAGAAGGGGCGGTTGGATTGCTAGGGAGATATGACCGAAGAAAAGCCGGAGAGAGAAATTGTGGGTCTTGCCTTGGGAGAGCACATGGGATGCGCCATAAGACGGTCTAACAGAACCGTAGTTTGTTAGGGAGAAAATGATTTTAGCATCCCTCGAGGGTTGGAGGGCAGGCATTTCTTGGCATTGGCGGAAAGAGAAACAATGTTTTGCGGAGTACTAGAGGAGAATGTGGCGAGCTGTCGTAGGCTCTCAAATTAAAACCTTACAAACATAGTAGCGGGAGTAAGGATCGATCCCACGAGGAGTAACTAGTTTAACTTTTGTGCTCAAGGAAATAATGGGGAGTTTGGAAAATAACGAAAATAAAGATTAAGTAAAAGATAATTTAAATAAACAAGAGATTAAATAAATCGAATAAAGCAATGAAACTAATATATTGAAAGCACTTATAATAGAAAATCTTGGTTAGTAAAGATCCACCACCGGAATTTAACACTGATCATTGATTAGTAAAGTAATTAATATGCAATTGAATATTTGTCGTGAAATTATTTCATTTCCGTTTTCCCTTAGTTATAGGTAACTAACGCACACGCGGTTTAATTACCCCTAACTACTAAATAACCTAAGACAAACGCTATAGATTTAATTTAATAGCAGCAATAGGAACTAGGAAAACCGACAAACTAAATAACACAAGCACAAGCGGTTGCATTTAACTTAGGAAAATATTCTACCCGAGTCCAATTATCACTAAGCCGTCAATAATTAACCCAGTTGATACTGAATATTAGAACAATTTGTAGCACAACATTATCTAATATAGCAAATAATTATATCAAGTAAATAACTAGTAGGCCTCCCTAGCAATTAAATAATACAACTATTCAAATAACTTAGAAGAATATTTAATACCCAAATGCATAAAAATTATATAATAAAAATAAATAAATAATCTTACAGCACAATCAATTCCGGGGCTTCGATTCACTAAACCAAGCTAAAGAAATTAGCAATGAATGGACATTGATAACAGCTTTACAGAATAATCGAGAGGGGAAGAATGAACGTTTTAGAATAGAAATCTTCCACTATTTATAACTTTCCAAAATGGACCTAGGCTATTTTCTACCACTCATTTTCCTAATTTCTCTCCACCAAGCGACGAAGTCTTCCGCAGGAGATGCCGCACGCTGTCGCATGAATTGGTCAACGAGACTTTCTGCCGTTGCCTTCGTATTGTACGTGCTGCTTAGGAACATAACAACAAACAAAAATTCTCTTTTTTTTTTTTTTAATTATTAAAGTTTAAGACTTATGTCTTGGGCTTTGAATTCACTAAGTAATTAAGGAAATGGGCCCTTGAAAAGCAAATAAACATAAAACCCAATACTAAGCCCAAAATTAATGTAAAACATTTATTTTAACTACTTAACTCTTGAGCTCTAAAAACATTACAAATAAAATATAATAACAAACAATAAATATAAATATATTATAAAAACCTATATAAATTAAAGTGTAAAAATATGTTTGTCAGAATGCAATGTTGTATTATTGGTAAATGCGCTTTTGGATTTTAATCATAAGGTTTTTGACAAAGTAGTTCCTGGGCTGTGCACAAGTTCTTGTCTTTGCAGTAATATACCTTTCTACGATTGTGGCCAAAATAAAAAAATATGTGCGCCGTGTATTCTTGGAACTCCTACTCAGAATACACCTTCACAACCGCCACCGTCTCCGGCCAGTGGAAAACGCAGTCATTGGGATGCGCCGTGTATCAAGAGGGCTGAGTTTGGCGGCGACATTCCGGCAGGAGGACAAGGACAAAGCCATACTCAATGAGCTTGAGTTTTTGTCAAGGCTCCATCACAAGAACCTAGTGAGGCTATTGGGCTATTGTGAGGATAACAATGAGAGATTGCTTGTTTTTGAGTACATGGAAAATGGCACACTTCATGATCAATTCCATAGGCTTGAGAGCTCACAACTCATGTCGTGGACCGTACTGATTCGCGTCGCCTTAAATGCAGCCCGAGGGATTGAGTACCTCCACGAGTATGCTGTGCCGCAAGTTATCCACCGCGACATCAAGTCATCCAACATATTGCTGGACAACACTTGGACTGCAAAGGTGTCCGACTTTGGGTTGTCCTTAATGGGACCTCAAGATGATAGGTCTCACCTTTCATTACAAACAGCGGGTACGATGGGGTACTTGGATCCAGAGTATTATATGATGCAAGTATTAACTACCAAGACCGATGTGTACATTTTTGGAGTAGTACTCCTCGAGCTATGTTTTGGAGTAGTACTCCTCGGCAAGGAATGTGGTGAATTATGTTGTTCTGTACATACAGTAAGATAATATTGCTAGGATTTTAGACCATCGAGTACCGCCTTCGACACCATTCGAGATTGATGCAATCACCTACATAGGTTTCCTAGAAGTAGATTATGTGAAGCAACATTGCAGAGATAGGCCGACAATGATGAAATCTTAAATAAGTTGGAAAGAGCCTTAACAGTTGATCAGCTTGCAACTCAGGTATTATTTCTTCTCACATTGATTTAACAAGTCTTCAATAAGAACAAGTTGAAGAGAGTGTTGATAGGTTGAAAGAGATTAGCAGTGGTTAGTTGGTATGTGAGGAAACTCCATTCTATCTTGTTGTAGGATATTGAAAGGGAGAACCCCGATGATGAAGTTGCAGAGATTAAGGAATCAATGAAGTATGGTCGTCGTTGGAGTGTGAGTGATGCTAGTATAAGCAAATACCAAGCCTTTGCTCAACCACTGCAACAATCTAAAATCCGCTTTGCTGAGTCAGGAACTAGCGGTACCTCCTCTGGATCTGACCTATTACCAACCTCTACTGCAACAGCTAATGAAGACACCTTTGCTTATATACTGCAATGTGGGTGGAAATGGTTTCTTCTGTGCTCATACCTTTTCATTTTCTTCACCCTTTTCCGTTATGGAATGTTGGAGATTTTCAGTAAACGGGACTGAGATGGCGTACAAGAGAATCTACAACGGCCCGAAATTGGCTGATCTTGGTTTCGGGAATTCTCACATTTGTGGAATTGTGGAGAATTCCGGGGGCCTTCAGTGCTTGCAATGGCCGGATTTTCGCCAGTCCAACCAGATTTCCCTCACCACGAATCTCGCATTGGGTCAAGATTTTGTTTGCGGGTTGCGCGATTCAGGCAAAGTTCAGTGCCTGGGGAGTGATTTAAATGTCACCGATCATGCCCCTAACGGGACTTATGATGATTTGGTCGCAGGTTCGCGCTAAGCGTGGGCTATTTTGTAGAAGGGGCGGTTAGATTGCTGGGGATATGGCCGAAGAAAAGCCGGAGGGCGAATTTGTGGGTCTTGCCTTGGGAAAGCACAGGGGATGCGCCATAAGACGGTCTAACAGAACCGTAGTTTGTTGGGGAGAAAATGATTTTAGCATCCCTTGAGGGTTGGAGGGCAGGCATTTCTTGGCATTGGCGGAAAGAGAAACAATGTTTTGCGGAGTGCTAGAGGAGAATGCAATGTTGTATTGTTGGGGAAATGCGCTTTTGGATTTAAATCTTCAGGTTTTCGGCAAAGTAGTTCCTGGGCTATGCACAAGTTCTTGTCTTTGCAGTAATATACCTTTCTACGGTTGCGGCCTAAATGAAAAAATATGTGCGCCGTGTGTTCTTGGAACTCCTATGCAGAATACACCTTCACAACCGCCACTGTCTCCGGCCAGTGGAAAACGCAGTCATTGGGATGCACTGTTTCTTTGATAGTTGTATTAGCCCTTATATGTCACCTATTTCCTCGGTACTGCACCATTACAGGAGGGTCAAGAATCCATTTTCCCTGCAGGTTAGACGAGGAAGACGCAGAGGCGGTCTTGGAAGATAGGCCCAGCCAATTGGTAAGTATGGTAAATGCTGGGATTTTAGAAGAGTTTTCTTTACAAGTGTTGCAACAAGTGACAAATAATTTTTCTGAGGAGCATAGAATTAGTGAAGGTAGTTTTAGGTCAGTGTACCATGCGACATTGGAAGATGGGCGGAGAGTGGCCATCAAGAGGGTTGAGTTTGGCGGCGGCATAAGATACCGGCAGGAGGACAAGGACAGTGCCTTACTCAATGAGCTTGAGTTTTTGTCAAGGCTCCATCACAAGATCCTAGTGAGGCTATTGGGCTATTGTGTGGATAACAATGATAGATTGCTTGTTTTGGAGTACATGGAAAATGGCACACTTCTTGATCAATTCCATATGCTTGAAAGCTCACAGCTCATGTCGTGGACCGCACGGATTCGCGTCGCCTTAGATGCAGCCCGAGGGATTGAGTACCTCCACGAGTACGCTGTGCTGCAAGTCATCCACCGCGATATCAAGTCATCCAACATATTGCTGGACAACGCTTGGACTGCAAAGGTGTTCAACTTTGGGTTGTCCTTAATGGGATCTCAAGATGATAGGTCTCACCTTTCATTACAAGAAGCGGGTACGATGGGGTACTTCGATCCAGAGTATTATATGATGCAAGTATTAACTACCAAGAGCGATGTGTACAGTTTTGGAGTAGTACTCCTCGTGCTGCTATTGGGAAAGAAAGCCATTCATAACAGTGAAGACGGGGAGGCAAGGAATGTGGTGAATTACGTTGTTCAGTACATACAGAAAGATAATATTGCTAGGATTTTAGACCGTCGAGTTCCTCCTTCGACACCATTCGAGATTGATGCAATCACCTACATAGGTTACCTAGCTGTAGACTATGTGAAGCAACATTGCAGAAATAGGCCGACAATGACTGAAATCTTAAATAAGTTGGAAAGAGCCTTAACAGTTGATGAACTTGAAACTCAGGTATTATTTTTTCTCCCATTGATTTAACAAGTTTTCAATAAGAAC